TTGTTTCTACCACATCACAAAAGCAACAAAATATATCAACATCAATACCTTTATGAAAGAGCTTGTCTTTTGAAGGTAATACACTTTGCAATACTCGCCGTAGAAAATGCTTGACCTTAGGAGAACTATCTAAATGCCAAAACCTATCATTATTTACTTGACTATCTCTATCAAAACATCTAAGATATAGAAAATAGCATGACTTCATACTAAACACCCTTTTTGTCTTGCGGTGGTTCGTATGGTTCGCCGGGAGACAGCTGTTCCTGGAGGACTGCGGCCGTTAATGGGTTCTTTTCAACAACTAATGGCAGGTGGTTGGGTGTGTAATATTTTGCACATTTTCAGAGAAGCCAACAGCTGTGCTGATTGGTTAACGCATTATGCTGTATCATTGCAACTTGGCTCCCATATCTTGGATGTTTGCCCCTCTAGGCTTTTTGATTGGATTAGCCATAATGTAAGAGGTATGGCCTATTCTAGGCTCACCTTGTAGTTTTTGTTCATCTCTTTATTACAGAAAAAAAAAAAAAAAAAACCTTTCTGTCTATACCGAAATAATTTTATCTTCCATAGGTTGGACGCTCAATGAGATATTTAGAATGGTCTTAACATCACGAACTGTAAACAATTCAATAATTTTAGGAACATCGAATTTCCACATATTAGGAAGCATTAAATCACAAACTCTCAAACAATGCTCTATGAACTCATTCCCGTCATCAAGTGAAAAAGAATCAGTTTTAGTTATGGTATAAGATAGTAAATACAAATGATGGTAAAAATACATATGATTTATGGTATAAGATAGATATGATTTTTGCTAACCGTTAATTCTTTTATACATTTATTTTGAGTATGATCCAAAACAAATTATGTATTAAATAAGATGTTGATTAAACAATTTATTGATATAAAATATAAATGTTGATTTATTTATACATTTATTATTAAAAATTATACATAATACACGCTGATATATTTTTGACATGAATCTTTTAACATTTCAACTTTTCATAAAAAAATTATGTAGTGTATCTAATTAATATAAAATTATGATTTAATTATTATTCAATATAGATAGAGATGACAATTTTACCCAATTTATAAGTACTCAATCTAATATAACTCTATTTTAACGGGTTCGAGTAGAATAAACGGGTTATGATAGGTTCAAGTATTAGTTTTATTTTCTATATCAAATTCAAATCGGTTCAAGGACTCAGATATCCGCTACTTGTTACCCATTACCAATTTAATTAATATTCTAAAACTAGTCTCAAACCTTTTTAATTTACTAGTTTTTTCTAACGTGTAATATATGTTGTTTGTACATTGTATTCGTTGCAAAGAAAATGTATTTTAATTTTTAAAAGTATAATTAAATTATACATTGTATTAGAATATGACTCATATAAATTATCATTAATAAATTTATAAATATAATTATAATTGGATCTTGGTTAAATATATTTTCATTTTTATTTTATTAGTATCATCATATATATTAGTATAATTATATTTCAAAGTTTAGTGTATATAGATTAAGGATTACAATAACCATAATAAATTATAATCTACTAAGTATATTCTCTAATAAAAAATATTAAACTTAATACTTTACATAATATTTTTATTACAATTACTATAATGTTGAAATATATTTATAGTATTTTAATTAATAATAATAATAATAATAATAATAATAATAATAACAATAACTTTAAAAATAATAAGAATAATAATAACTTTAATAATTAATAATAATAACAAATAACTTTATAATAATAATAATAATAATAACAATAACTTTAAAAATAATAAGAATAATAATAACTTTAATAATAATAATAATAAATAAATAACTATTTTACCATCAAAATAGACGTAGTTTTGATTTAGGTTTAAATGAATCACAAACAAAACTAGTCGTTTAGCCTAGTAATGCATTTTAATCATACAAACAGAAAGTTCTCTCAAACTCAACTCAAGTCAAACGTATTTTCTCCTCCTTCCCTTCCCTGCGCCGCTCATTTTCTGCACTTCTACGGCCACAGCTTTTCTTTATACCTCCCCGTTGCTTTGGTTTTTGGCCCTCGCCTCTGCAGCAGTCGTGCTCTTCAAGCGTACAATTGCCGGTTTCGTTCTTGATTTTTTTTATTTCATTCTCAGTTTTTTTTTTTTTTCCGTTTTGCTTCGTCTCTTTTCCTTTTTCTTTTTTCTTTTTTTTCTTTTTTATTTTTTATATAAACACATAAACAGACAAAGAGAAGGAATTGTTGAATTAATTGATGGGTCAACCGAGATCATTTGCATATTATTTTATTTCTTCGTTTATGGGTTTTGTGCATGTTTTATTTGTTGAAAATATATATACTAAAAGGCAAAAGGATTGTGAATATAAGCCAATCCGTGGTTTGTTAAGTGAAATCTGATATGTTTGGTTTGTTAATTCAAAGTTTGGTTTGTTAATAATGATTAAGATTGTCTAGAGATACTGAGAATGAATTATTGCATATAATTGTCAAATAACTAAGAATGGTTTTGGTTTTAATTTTTTGCTTGCAAATTATTCAAAGTTTGATTTTTAATAATAGAATTTCAAATTTCAAATTTTGATTATTGTAAATGAGGTTAGGTTACCAAAATATTCAAACTTGATAATGTACAAAATATTGGAAAGCAAAACACCAGGTTAACAAGGTTTAATTTTGTTTACATGAAATATTTATAACATCTATCTTAGAATAAGCTTTTAAAAGCAATAACGCAAATATACAAGGGCTGATTATTTTTTTTTTTTTTTTTAGTATTTTGTGATTTTATATATGGCTGAATTTTTCTTTTTGAGAAACATGTACAGCTTGACTTGGAATAGCTTAAATATGTAAAGTGTTTTTAGTCATATGCTAGACTTGAATTGTGCAAACCTTGTTTAATTATCCCTAATGTAATTTGCGTTTTTTTTTTAGTATTTTGTGATTTTATATATGGCTGAATTTTTCTTTTTGAGAAGCATGTACAGCTGACTTGGATAGCTTAAATATGTAAGTGTTTTAGTCATATTGCTAGACTTTGAATTTGCTAACTTGTTTATTATCCCTAATGAATTTGCTGTAGGTAGTTTTAAATTAGCTAAGTCTAACTAACTAGTTGATTTGATATTCTAAATTGCCTTTTCTTTTAGTTTTTTCTTTTAGTTTTAAATCACTTTGTTGTTGGTTTTCTTTTTCTATTTAAATATATTATATATTTTAAATATATTGTATCTAAATATAGATTTTATCTTGTATGATATAATATCAACATTTGAGAGTATAGATTGTGAAGATAGTAGCAAAAATGAGACAAATATGTCTATGCCTTCTGAAAATATTATATTTTATTTAGTTTTTAGTTTGTAGTTGATATTATTCTTATTCAATTTTAATAGATGTTTGATTGTCAAATTGTTTAATTGAGAATTGAGATATTGCTTTGAATTTAAATTCTTTTGTTATATTTTAATATTATTGTGCACTGTTGATTGAGAATATTATATGTTAATTTGTTTTATTATTTTAAATATTACAGGTTAAGTTGTTTTATTATTTTGAAATTGAATTTTAATGTATTTTTTATGTTGCACGTTGGGTTCGGATTCGGGTTTCATGCGGGTTTGAGTTTTATGAATTGAATAAATATATGATTAAACAGGTATTTAAACAAATTCAGAGAGTATGCGAGTATTTCTAAACGGATATGGGATGAGTTTAGATACTATTGATTTATTCCTTAACAGATTGAGATACTTAAATTAAAAATGAATTCAGATTTGGATAATTTATTTCTTGTGGGTACCTGTCCCGCCGCGTACCCTAGCGAGGGCCATATTGAGATTGGCATGAAGACGGGGATTGGCTCCTTGGCTAAGATTTAAAGAGGGATGGGGATGAGCTCCTTGGTCCATAATTGGCTGGTAAAAGGACTACTCTATCTTAAAGTAAAATGTGAAATTATGAAAAGATGAAATATGGATTTCATTATATATGAATGCAAATAAGTGCTGTGAGGTGTTGAGAAGTTGACCTAGTTAAAGCTAAATTGAGATAGTAAGACGCAATCCCATTTTGTTGGGAAAATGATCCAGGTGATTGATTTATCGTGTTGCATTATACTTGTGACGTTAAAGTGTCATCGTGTGGCTGGTGCGAGTGACACTAGGAACTAGAAAGATCCATTTCGTAATATTTATTATTATTTAGTGAGCTGAAGTATTGATTTGGCTTCATTTCAGGTTAATAGTCTCCTTCATCTGTCACCATCTTCTCTGGAGTAGCTCTGCCTTCGATTTTGGAGATTTCGACTTGTCCATGTAAAAATTTATTAGATTCTGCAATGACTTTAGACTTGGGTCTCTATTATTAATTAAGGATTTAAATTCAGATTAATGGAATATTATATGTATAAACATAACTTCAAAACTATAGTATAAATATATCAACGGAAAAAAAATTCGTAGTAAAAATGTTTGGGCCTTGAAATGGAACTGGGCTTTAAGTTAGCAATAAATAGAAGAGGCTTAACGCATCCTTCAGAGGCCTTAAGCTAGTGCCAGTACGGACCTAAGTATCGGGTCGTGGTAATAACTGTTTGAGCAGTATTAATTTTAAAATTATAAACCAAACAAAAAATTTAGATTTTAAAATTTACAAATCAAACTGAACCATTTAACTTTTAAATTCGGGATTTAAATATTTAAAAAAAAAAATCAAGGACTTAAATCGTTTTGGATTGGGTTCAGCCGTTCTATGAACGCACGTGCCAACAACCAAAGGCAATGGATTCCTTACAAAAGGGTTGATTGACACGTTGTCACTTTTTTTTTTTTTTACGAGTCAGCTTGTGTAGACGCGCCTTCCTTCAGCTGGCTGGAGACTGGAGGCGCAAAAAATGGTCAAAATTGTAATTCGACACAATAGTTTTCTTAAAAAAATAAAAGTAGTTAAAACAGATAAAACGAATAAATACCAAATCTTTTTATTGTTTTAATTTTATTGTGATTTTAATTTCCCTCTCTCTTCACCGCCTCTTTCCATTCAAACGATAATCACTGTTGTTCTCTCGTTCACTGTTTGCTGCCTGAAACTAGTAAATCGGCGCTCTACTTCAACAATTAATGGAGGGCGAAACTAGTAACATGCTCCGTTTTAATGTTCACCTTCAGTGACCAAGCTTTCGCCTCCTCCACATTCTCTCCTTCATCAAATTTCGCAACAAAGTACAGAACCCTAGTTTTACTTAGATTTCCACTTCAATCGGCCGCGATCTTGGAGTGCTTTTCATTAGCGTAATCGAGCTGTCACTTCGTTCAGGTAGATACTTCTTTTGTTCTCTCTATTTGATTGTTTTCTTTGTTTGTTTCTCAAGAAATAACTTCTGTTCTTCTTCATTTCTATTTCCTGCTTGTCCTTCTATTTTTCGTGAATTCTTGTTTCTGGTTCGATTGGTGTAAATGATTGGATTTTAAAATTTTTTAGATCTAAAAATTGGGAGAGATCAGATCAGTGATTTGGGTTCCATATCTGTTATCACTTAATAGTGTTATTAGTCGGTCGTTCACTGTTACTATAACTAGAGATAATGTAGTTTTTGTCAGTAAGTGTGATCTTGTTTAGGTTTTATAAAGATTGAATGAATTATTTGATTGATCATAATAATTAAAATAAATTATTTTGAAACCTTTAGTTTTTACTTACTAAACATTGTTGCTTGCCCCCTCATGGCAAGCAGTATATAAATTTTATGGTAAAGATGATTTCGCAAAAGGACATGGAAGAGCACTGAAGATTATTATATTAGTTATAAGTTTCATTTTAGATATTGAGCAGTTTTTAAAGTCTGTTTATATGGTTTTGCTTGATAGAATTTTTAAGGACATGGTATTGAATTTTTTTTAGAGTTATATATATTCGCAAGGTTTTAGTAGAAATTTGATTATCGTAAACAATGTATACTGTCATTTGAATGTCTATTAGTAGGATTCATGTTATCTTGGAGTTATTCTTCTAGATTGAGTCATGACTGGGTTTGGGGCATGACACTTTGTTTGAGTGCTCAAACTATGCATTTTTTTGTTCTTGTGGGGTTTGCATGGCAACACTGAAATCCCTTTGTGTATGACTGTTTAGAATTGATCAGTGTTGGTCATTTCACGTCTTGAATTTATTGGTCCATTTGATTTTGGTCAAAATCTGGTTAAAATGGTCGAGCCTACTTAGGCATGACTTGGTTTTTTTAACTTCTAAGCTTCTGTTTTATTTTTTAACTAGTTTCATTGATTGGCTAGATTATGGCATACTCAGAACCTGCAACAACAGAAAGGGAGCCAGTCCAGGGTACTGCTGTGCCCAGGAAACCAAGGATTCTATTAGCTGCTAGTGGAAGTGTAGCTGCTATAAAATTCGGAAATCTTTGCCATTGTTTTTCTGAGTGGGCAGAAGTAAAAGCAGTGGCCACAAGGGCTTCTTTGCATTTCATTGATAGAGCCTCACTTCCTAAGGATGTAGTGCTTTACACTGATGAGGATGAATGGTCCAGCTGGAATAAAATAGGAGATAGTGTGCTTCATATTGAGCTGCGGCGGTGGGCTGATATCATGGTTATTGCTCCATTATCAGCAAACACACTTGGCAAGGTAATAAGTGTTATAGACTTTTATAAGTGTAGCTCAAACATTTCACCAACCATGTAACACATTGGATACCTTGTGTCTAACAGGTTTGTCTTTGGGATTGTTTCTACCCCCAATAGATTCTGACTCTCGATATGATATAGATCAAGTTTTTGGCCTTGTTTTGCATTGTCACTTGTATTCTTCATACAAATGTAGTCATATATTTTGGTTGTTTTGTGGAGAAACTATAATTAATGATTGATATGATGATACTGGTATTCAGTTTCTCAAGTAACATGAATCTGATTAAACCAATGCCTTTCATCCTTGGTACAAATATTTTCCTGCTCAAAAATCCACCGATTGGCATGATTGGTAGGCGAGTCATATGCCTCTTCCAAGTGCGTTTTTCAAATTGGTTTCACGGACTAACTAGAATGCTTTGTTATTATTTGCCAAAGAATGAATTATTGCCAGTCCCTCTTTTAGGTCCCTCTAGGTTTTGGATGTTGCAGTAAAGGACAGGGCTTATGTGGGTCATTTATTGTTTATCTACCTCTGTATGTATGCATGTATATCATATTTGAGAATGACTTTCCTTGGTTGCCATAATGTTTCCTTGTTTGCTTAATATGCTCTTTTTGTAGCTGTGACATGCGGTTGGTTTTGTTATAACCATGATTTCCAATTACTAAATTATTTAATCTTTTTTTGATGTATGTATCGATGCAGATTGCTGGGGGATTATGTGACAATCTGCTGACCTGCATTGTTCGAGCATGGGATTACAACAAGCCCCTCTTTGTTGCGCCAGCCATGAACACTTTCATGTGGAATAACCCTTTCACAGAAAAGCATCTCATGTCAATTGATGAACTTGGAATTTCTCTTATTCCACCTGTACCAAAAAGGCTGGCTTGCGGTGATTATGGAAATGGTGCGATGGCTGAACCATCTCTAATCTACTCAACCATAAGACTCTTCCTGGAGTCAAGGACTCAACCAGGAGATGGAAGAATTGGTTAATTGGATGTAAGTGCTTTGTGTGGTTTATCCTTTTTCTATCTTCTAGGGATTTATTACTTCTGATTTTATATGTGGTGAAATCATGTATGTCCGGCATGCTATGAAAGGTGGAACACTGATCCTGACCTAATGTAAGAATTTCTCTCGTATATTTGGACATGTAGTATTAGTATGTTTCATAGATTTTGTATACCTAGGAATACATGTAATATACGAGTTCATTTGACTTGCATTGGTTTAATGGTATTTTACAGTAGTTTAGCGATTGATGATGAAATCTACTCGATCTATCTCCAGGTAAAAAGCAATTATTAGATAGCAATGAATTTTTGTCTATTAAAGATTTTCTTTTAAAGAATGAGAATGAAAATAAAATTTTAAATTCACATAATCTTGTTCTAATTTTCTTGAGATTATTTAAATATAAGTTTGTCATATTAAAAATAGGCATCATTTCAATATAAATTCAAATTATTCAAATATAAGATATAAGAAGATAGATTGTCAGAATAATGTTTTATTCTAAAAATTAAATTATGGTATCCACCCTTTGGCTTCACTATCCAGTTTTAATTTTTAACCATTTTTCAAAAATTTTAAATATTAACATTTTCTTTTTAAGGAAGAGAATCTATTAATATAAAACTCAATCCAGACTCATATCCTGTAAAACAATGTCAATCATAAAATTTAAACATGAACTTGAATAACAGAATAATTTATTTTATTTATCTTTTTAATTTAGCAATAATTAATATTATGCATCAATTTTCGGTTCCCTCCAAATCAGATTTTTCATGCCATCCTCATAATTTGACCCCAAGATCACATCAATTAAGTCAATTTGCGAAAATATTCATCATTTACTTATTAAAAGATTTATGAATTCAACCAACCTTAATTTTTTAAAAACAATAATTCATTAAAAGGTTTTAATAAATTAAAGTAATATTGTAGACCGTACGACAGATAGCACACCAAATTCATCAACTTGTAGTATATTGGATTATATAACATGAGCACCTTTTCTAAATTCATCAAATTGTTTATATAATAGATAATGTAATATGAGTAGCTTTTTTCTTAGATTTTGCGTTTTTTTAACACAAAGTGAAAAAATTAATTATATTATATTTGATCAACAAAAAAAATGTTTGTAAGAAGATTTTATATTCAATTTTAACCGATAGATTAATTTATAAAAAACAAATTATTAATTATTTTGAGATGCCACAAAATTTTCTCCTAAAATGATTGCACTTCAAAAGGTTAATAATTATCAATTGACATTTGATATTAGAAAATATAACAGGACTAACCACACGGCAGCGTTTGGTGGAGTAACAAATGGATTAATCGATAAAAGGGAAAAATTGAAAATAGAGATTTGATTTTATTCACCACGAAGAAGATGACGGAAGCTTGGATTCGACCGCTAGTTGAAGCCATACATTCCAGTCCTACTCAGGCCGTCCTTTATCTCTCCGGCGGCGCTTCTCAGGTCTCTCTCTCCTTCTATTTGCTTAGACATAAGTATATGCTAAAACAGTAATTATCTTTAAAATTCAACTTAACTAATTGATTAGATCTTGTGCTTAGGCGTTGGGCTGCTTGATGTCAGTTCCTGGAGCTACAAATACAGTTCTTGAAGCAGTGGTACCCTACTCTAGAATGTCCATGATTCAATTACTTGGAAAGGTTCTCTTCATTTCTTTTCCTTTTTTCTTTTTTTTCTGATTTTGTTAGAATATTTTTTGTTGCTGTTAATTTCATTTTTGTTTTTTCTTCAGATTCCTACTCATTATTGTAGCCAACAAACTGCACAGGAAATGGCTTTATTGGCTTACAATCGTGCTCTTAAGCTCTCTAGTCCTGGTAAATTAATTCACTGTACAATTTTGTATGATTTATTATTATTTTTTAAATGGAATGATATATGCTTCCTTAGTTAGCTTGTTCATGAATATGAAGGTATGGAAGCATTTGTCATTGTTTCTAAATTTGGGAAATGGTTTAGTAAGTGTTAATATTAATCTAATATGCTGGATTCATCTGTTGAATAGGTTCTCCAGTTCTTGGTGTGGGTTTTACTGGTTCTCTAGCTAGCACACGTCCCAAGCTTGGTGACCACAGGTATTGTTTATTGAAAACGTTTTCCCCTACATGAAATGTTTCCTTTATAATAGAACAGAAATTGTTTTCTTACTAGTTCAAGTCAGAACTTTTTCATGTTTACTCTTGTTTTTACTACAGATTCCTTGTTTTCATTGGCCCTAATAGTAGGTATTAAAAGCATGCCTTGGGCTCTAGGATCCCTTTGCGCCTTTAATGACTATGGCATTTTTGCAATAGTAAATTTATTTCCAAGTCACAATGGTGAATAAAACAGGGGACAAACGTATGATAACTTGAGTGAAGTAGCGAATAAGGATTTAGTATCAGTAAACCTCTCTGTACATGTAACCCTTAACTGAATAGAATGGAGGAAAAAAAGATCTATATTATATAGCCAACCCCAATTAGATTATAATTAATTAAGTTATGTTCTCTCATTTTTTTTTTTTTGGGTCAGCTATCATGAAAACCTTTTTATTAAGAACTGAAGGAAAGGAGAAAAACTTATCAAACCCGAGGAAGATTAAATCCAAGCCAATAGGCTTCCCTCATATACCCAACAAAACTTAAAAGCTCAAATGTGACAAGAAAAAACCTATAGAAACAAACTAGAGAACCTCTCTAAGGTAAGAGAAGTAAACTAGAATAAAAAAACAAGTACAAAAAGAAAACCAAGATAAAATAAATAAAAGCAATTTTAAAACCAAGCTAAGAACGGATTCTCGACATCAACACCTTTCTTAGCCAAACTATCTGCAAAATGGTTATTGCTTCTTTCCACATGATTAAATTGTGTCTGATTAAGTTGAGAAATGGTTTGTTCTAACTTGTTGAATTTTTCAAAGAATTTAATCCTTTGGCATTGAGAAGGCCAATGGTGAAGCTACCTTGATGAGAGGGTGGGCAATTGCCCCCCTCTCTTGAAAAAAATGGCTTACTTTGGTTGGGATTGAACTCTGGCCATTCAGCAAAATGTAACACACTTTCACCACTTTGCCCCTAACTTACACATTCAAGTGTTTGCTCCCCTCCACACCCCACCCCCCCGCGAATTTAAACCCTAGCTTCACCCCTGGAGAAGGTTCTCTACTTCCAAGGCCACTTATATCCAACACAAAACATTTCTAGAATCGGATTCCCCAGTCAACGGGAAACTTATAACATCTAATTGCCAAAACATCTCAATTGCTGAAAATAAAGCGAGGATTTCAGCCTCATTATGATCTAGCACCCCATGGAATGATAAAAATTGCAAACTACATGACCATTACTGTTTCTTAAAACAACCCCCCACACCTGCTTGACCCAGCTTGCCTTTGGATGACCCATCAACATTGAATTTGAACCAACCTGGAGATGGACTTGCCTTATCCAAAACATTACTTCTAACAGTGCCCTGCTTCCCGGAATGAACACCTGCTTTGCAAAATTCCAACTAGAAATAAATACCAGTCGCTAAAACTAAAAGAAATGGACTGGTATTTTGCTTTTAACAGTTTCTTGTTTGTTTACCTTTTCTTGTTTCCATATCACACATATTAAACCTCTCATTAAATTCCTATTTTTAAAATGTAAAATGCTAAATAACATTCAGTGTTTATTGTTTTGTCGACTTCATGCTTTATGATAGTGGCTACTGGTTACATATAGGGTATTCTTGTTTCGAGAATCCTATTGAAGCTAGCTTTTAAAGATGAGTATTGAGTTTCCATTATTTTCATGGAGCTATTTTCGAAGATGTGATTCTGGAGTTCTTAAAATCTGCTGCATTTCGAGTGACTTTTCATGTTCTCAGATCCATTTTGTCATTGTTGTTTATAGATTTTACTTATCAACAAGAACATCTGACAGACTTTGGGTATCTACAGTTACTTTGTCAAAGGTTAAGGAATTCCTTTTTTTTTTTTTTTTTCTTTGAATTTCAATTTTTCATCTTGCAAAATTTACAAATACTTGGTTACTGATTTCATATAGGGTTTGCGAAATCGGGAGCAAGAAGATGCAATTTCAAGTCATCTCTTACTCAAGGTGTGTAATATTCACATGGATTTGTCCATTATGTCCTATGTTGCAAGCAAACTCGCTTTGATTGCTGTCTCGGAGACGTTTTGGAAATGTTTCCTGCACGGGAATGTCTGGAAAGTCCTTGAAAATGTTTCGGGGCCGTTTCCGTAAATTGGTAACTTGGAAACCGCGTTTCTGCCTTCAAAAACAAGTTTCTTTAGTTTAAAGTAAATAAATAAATATAAATCCATAAAACATGTATTTTTTAATGAATATGGAACTTGAAAACAAGTATTTTTTTTTTTTGTCTTTTGGATATGCTGAATGTTGGTTGAACTTGACTTATTGTTATATCTTTGATGGTTTTTAATGATTTATTGTCTATAATATACTTAACCAGATATACCTTTTATTTGTTTCCCCCACGTTTCCATTTTCTAAATTTTTGAAAATGTCTTTTCCCCGTGTCTGTTTCCATGCAACATAGCTTATATCTGGTTAGAAGTACGCTATTTTCACATTTTCTCTCCATAACTCATATTATTCTTAAAAAGGTGCACCTACCTATATTTAAAAGTGGGGTGAACTGACAAAATGGCTATTGCTAGCCACACATTCCTTTTCTTTGTTTCCCTTCATGTCTCTGAAAAATATACCATGCTTAATTGTGTATAAAGAATTTGTTTCTCGTGGTTCTCATTTAGTCATTTCCTTGGCAGACTTATTATTTAATTTTCTTTGGCCCGCTTTTGGTTGCAGGCTATTGCAAATGCATGCAAAGTCCAGGCAACTTTTGTTTCTCATCTGACTGAATCTGATGTGTCTGATGATTGTGAAGAACGATTTACTGAAGATGAAGAATTGGAACAACTTATAAATGGGCAAATATGCTTTAAGGTCTATCCATTTTCCAATGGTATGGTTTGTTCTTTGGTAGAGTAAATCCCAAATTCACTAACTTTTGTCTGTTATTTATTGTGTACTAGCTGTTTTGTAGTGACACATGCATCGAAGGAGGAGAGAAAGATAATACTTTCTGGTTCTTTTAATCCGTTGCATGAGGGTCACCTGAAGCTCTTGGAAGTGGCTACTAGGTATATAAGTTTTTCTTTGACACTATGTTTAAGAGTTGTTTAAGTCACTTTCCATTGATAACCACTTTTATGCAGCATCTGTGGCAATGGATATCCATGCTTTGAAATCTCAGCAGTCAATGCTGATAAACCTCCACTATCAGTATCACAAATCAAAGATCGTGTCAAGCAATTTGAAAAATTTGGTGAGGCTCGTTATTTATATCATTTTCTCGTCCTATATATTTCCTTATTACATGAATTACATTTTATTTTATTTTATTTTTTATAATTTGGACTTCCAATATTTCTGGGTGGTCGATGCATTTTGCATATTACTGCATGAATCTAAACGAATCATGATTTTCAGAAAGAATGTAAATATGGGGAAATTTTCCGGGCACTGATCGTAAGTTTCAGTTATGGTATAACAATTTGGGATGTAAATTTTTGAATTGGGCAATTGACTATTCAGAGGACAATATTGAGTTAAAGTAGTTAGATCACATGCTATGACTGGGAGTTATACAGCTCTGAATTTAAGGCATCCTAAAGTAATGCTTGTTCATATCAGATATCTGTTGATGTAATGTGCCCCCTTGAAACCTGCAAGTGAATAGAAATGATATTTGCTTGTGTAAGCCTTAAATTTATTTTATTGATTACATTTAAGACAGCAAAGCTGCTTGTGCTTTTGTGTTAGTATTATTATTATTATTCTTTTGCTTATTCTTATTCTGGTTTTAATGTTGAATTCTTTTAAAAGATTAAAATGCTGAACAGCGCAAACTATTGTCTAGGAAATTCTATTAACTAGCCATTTGATAATTATTTAATGCATTTCCTTTTGGATGGCAGGAAAGACGGTAATTATTTCCAATCAACCTTTCTTTTATAAGAAGGCTGAGCTTTTCCCTGGAAGTTCTTTTGTAATTGGTGCAGACACAGCTGCTAGACTGATTAATGTGTGTAATCAAATTGCTCTAAATAAAATATGCATAGATACATTCTGATGTTTTATTTAATTTTAATGCATTTACATGACAGTGTTTAACTTTATCTACTGGATAGTTACCTGGAATTTCATGTACTAGTAACCTTTACTATTTTGAATTTGGTATTGTGTGTTACAATAGATGAACAGAAAATTACGCAGAATATTAAGGGAAAAAAATTTTTTTTCTAGCATACTCATGGATAACATTTTTTTGTTTTGCTGGCATATTAATCATATAGTGACATGTTCCCTGATTAATGTAATGGAAGGGTGAGGATATATGATGCTTATACTGTAGGGTTAATCAACTTTGTATTCTTTCTTATACATATGCATTGCATTGACACCAAAAGAAGATGCTCTTTCTCAGAGCATGGCCGCATTATTTTTAGAACCAGAAAAGATTGTTTAGCTTAAGCCCTTTTTGAAAGAGCACATTCCAAATACCTATGTCTATAGGTTAGTTTAGGCAGTACGTGGTATGGAATGAAATATGTATAATGATTCATTGAAGTTGAACTAATGTATTGTTGTGGAACTAATCTTTTATGTACACATACGCATCCATGATGTCCTTGAAATCTGTCGCATGCGTGATGTCTTAATATAGCAGCATGACCTATTAGCTTATATTTACAATTTATTTTATAGGTTAAAGAGTTATGTTGACTATTTGTTTCTACTGCTTTTCCAGCCAAAATACTATGATGGGGACTACGGAAAGATGATAGATATACTAACTGGATGCAAAAGAACAGGATGCACATTTCTTGTTGGTGGCCGAAATGTAGATGGTGTCTTTAAGGTATTGTGCTTGCTTATTGGAAGCTTATGCAGCATTTGCTTGATTTTCATTTGGAAATTTTATCAATGCGATATTTCGGTCTTTCTTTAGGTTCTTGAAGACTTCAACGTTCCAGAAATGTTAAAAGACATGTTTATCTCTATACCAGCTGAACTGTTTCGGATGGATATTTCCTCCACTGAGATAAGAAAGAGTCAGGGATGTTAATATGACACGCAGCAAAATTTACCCTTCACATGATTCTTGTTGTCCTGGTAAATAATGAGAAATTATTGAGTGATCCTGGTATATACACGCCTTCTCTTATAATCATTTAGAACCCATTTTCAATAAATTCAGATAGATCCTACATGATTAAGTGTGTCAGATGTACTATTTTTATCATTTGCGTCCAACAGGGGCAGTAAATAATTCCTTGTAAAGAGTAAATATGCATTTCTGGAAAACCTCATTTCATTTCATATATTACATTTACATGTATGTTGTTCAAAAGATCTTTTTTTTATTTTAAAAAAAGGCTGTGTTTGTTTGGCCGAGTCGAACCAAAATTTGATTAGAAATTAACATTGCAGCATCTATTATCCCTATTACTCTTAGTAACTCTAGAGTGAGTAATTTGCAGGTGTTTTCAAGTTGAAAAAAAAATCACAAAATATAGATAATATGCAATTTTTATTATAGTAATGGCAGATGGAATTACATACATGGACGAAACTTGTATGTTCTTCAAATTGAAGGCAATCCAAGTGATCCTGAAACTTAAAAAAATATCTTACTTGTGCAAGGGACTAAAATTCTATATGTAAGGGACTGTTGTACCTATATAATTGAAACTTACAGTCGGACTACAATTCTATATGCAAGGGACTGTTATATCTATACAAAAGCACAACTAAATAAATATTTGGGTATCAAATGGTCAAGAAACAGAAGTTTCTACTGTTCTATTGATATTTGTCTCTTAATTCACTTCTATCTCAAGCTTGTATGAGAATGAACGCGGCAGGCGGAGGAGATGAAAGTCATCCACCGCACCCACCTCCGCACCCAGCTCCGCACCCAGTTCCGCCTGTTGAACCGTGAGTATTTGAGCCTTTACCTTCGGTGGCACCGCCGGCACATGAGAAGATGATAGCTGTAATGATAGATAGAGTGATTAGTGCAGCCCACCATAAGAGTAAAGCTTCGTGGCTTCCAATTCTGCCGCCGTCACCGCCTTCTCTTCCATACCCACTAATTGCCTCTCGCCATTCTCTAACCATATCCAATCTGTTTCTAATTTTCTCTCCCAAATCAATGGACGACTAGGTTTCTTTCGGGGTCTCGAGTGCTGAAGGTGAAGTTGCAATTAGGCATTGACTTTATCTGGCGCCAATGTCTCATATTTTATCCATTTTGTAGCGGACTTTGTTGACGTAGGAAGGATGCCAAATGAAAGGATAAAAACGTTAACGAAAAAGAGGATAAGGTTCTAATTGTTACTACGTCGGTCAGGCCCCGAGAGCTTAAGTATCTAGAAAATTACAAAAATGTCCCTAAGATATTTTCCAATCACATGGAGGAAAAGAAAAAGATCCATTTTTTACATCTTAACTAATTGTAGGTTCGCACGTTGCATGGATTAATATATTATTGTATATTTTACTTTATAGTTTATAATTTACGTATAAATCATAAGATGGTAAAATTATTAATCTCCTTAATGTCAACAATAGTTTTTTTTTTTTAATTATTGCAATAGATATTATTTTTTTAAAGTTATCTTTTCTTGTCCATTATTGAATACGAAAAAGGAGGAGTAGAGGTTCTAATAATTGTTATCTACGTCGTTTCAGTGTCAGCCCCCGAGCAGAGGCCTTAACGTGATCATTAGAAATATTTACAGAAGAGGTCCCTAAAGATATCTTCAATCAAATGGAGGAAAATGAAAATATATCCATTTTTAACATGCTTTATAACATAATCTGGAGGCAGTTATTCGGCTATTACGGCTTGCATGGAATGAGTATTTATAGTTCAGTGTGGTTCGATAGGGTGACTATTCAAAATCTTATAATTTACGTATATAAATCATGAAGATGGGTAAAATTAATAATCTCTCTTAAGTGCACAAACAAATAGTTTTGTTTTTTTTATTTAAATTATTCGGCAACTATGATCTTATGTAATTTTTTTCTAAAGTTATGCTTTTCTTGCTGCCCATCTTTCATTCATATATATATCCTTTTGAAAGAAAATCATGAATTGCAAAATTTGTGATTATCGCTAAATCTTGATTTATTATAATAACAATTATCATGCATTTGAAGATGTATCAGATACTAAAACTTAATTCTAAAAGCGAATATCAGAATGCATTTTTATTAGTTTTAAGTTGAAGAAATATCCATATGAATGAGATTGTGCAGTCAGTTAAGAGAGAAAGAAAAACTCAAAATTATAGCATAATAATATGTTTAATTCATAGTAGAGATATCCATTCCAAATATGTCGATGACTAGAACAGCGATAACATTTTCTTTTCTTGCTGAAAAAATAAAAATTATAGATAATAGACATTTTTTGATTTTCAATAAAAAAGTATGCAACCGAAAAGTGAAAAATAATAAATTAAGATGAAAAAATACATATAGAAGTAAACGGACGAATATAAAGAGTCCGCTGGCAACAAATAATGAAAATGATGATTAAAGGTAATTGCCATGCCATGGAATAGTGTATTGTGCAAGATGGGTGAAATTCTGAGTCCTTGAACTCCAATAGATGGTCATTCAAGTCTTATATATTCTTTCCTTTACAAACACGAACAGTTGGAATCCCAAGCATAGAATAGATTGAGGGTATATATGAAATAGCATAAAAAATGTAATTAAGAAGAAATAAACAATGGAGTAAGCAATTAGTAATATGGATGTTTGTATACCCTTTGAAAGTAGAGTTAGTTTGGCTTGAAAATGTGAGTTAAAGATTTTACTTGCATTTAGAACGCTAACTTTATGGCGAATTACAAGTTCATGATACATAGCAACAGCTAGATAGTTTCAGTGTTTTCTTGTCACTTCATGTCAATTGTCCCTGGTCCAGCCACCAAAATAAATATCATGTTCATAATCATACATAAAGCTGAGTTTAGAATGGTACATATATGAGGAGTAAGAAAAAAATATTTTTGCTTTAAAAAAAGAGATAAAAAAAGCAAAATATTAAAAAAAAAAAAAAAAAGAAAAAAAATTCCAGAATATACAAACCAAGTTAGAAAACTTTCTTTCCAATACATATTTTTCATTGAGCAGTTGCACTTTTCCTAAATAGAAAAAGAAAGAAAATGAGTTTTAGCATTTCTAGAAAGAGATAAGAAAATCTCTAAAATTTAATATAATTATTGTAAAATCTCTTAAATCTTAACTTTTAAATTTAATATAACCATTGTTATAGATAATATATATAGATAAAATAATTATAAGGGACAAAAGAAATGCTAAGAAAGGGGATTAAAAAATCAAAAAAATTGTAAAAAAAAAAAAAAAGAAATGCTTAGATAGGAAGATGCCAAGTCAGTCGTTTAAAGTTTTTTTTTTTATTTAACAGATTATATATTTATATATATATATATAGATACTAAAAGTATGTTATAATAGTTAACTGGTTACACGATGCACAAATATTTTAATACATATTAGTTTTCAATATTTAATTAAATTTTTTATATCTTAATTTTTATTTTTTTATTATTTATATAATTGAATTCTAGTTAAATAATTTTGAAATTTTTCAATGTTTAAATTTAATTTAACAAATATAGTTCAATATTTTATAAATTGTGATTATGATATTAAACCATCTTTAAAAATATATATAATAATGTTAGGAAATAAATATTCTGTTTAATTCTATTTATTTATATTGTCATATAAAAATTTACAATAATTCTATTTAAAATTATTTATTTAATCATTTATTTAGTCAAATGATTATTATTTATTGTATTATTGATTTTTTTTTATACTTTCACGAGGTGTCTAGATATATTTAAGTGGTTTGACGTAAATACACATAGTAAAATTTTAATCGGGATTGAGAAAATATGAATAGTAAAATTCTAAATGTATATGAATAGCTCAAAGTTCTCACATACCTATCCCACTTCTGTTGCTGAACTCATCTCCCTTTCCAAAATATTCCTTTCCTTTTTTATTTTGAGCGAATTTATGAAAGTACTCGTGTTATTTTTTCCTAAGTAAAAAATGGTATGAAAATAAGTTAAAAGGGAGAGTAAATAAACATTACGGGGCAAGCTCGTTAAATGGGTAAGAGAAATTATAATTGCCAAGGATCAGAAAAAGCATGCAAATTGCTTTCCAGTCTTAGCTTCAATTGCAAAAGATATTACTGCTTCTCCACTTTCTATTGTTTCAGTGGAGCCAGCTTTTAGTGCGGGTGGACAAATTTTAGATCCAACACGATTAAGATTATCGCCAAATAATGTGGAAATGCAAAAATGTGTTGACGATTGTACTTGAGCGGCGTTTAAAACTCAAGACCAACAAAATTCAAGCGATGATGATGATTCCGGCTCATTAACAGGCACTAGTGGCGCCGATGACTAAAATTAATTGTAATAACTAGGAGGTTATTTTCCATTGTAATAAAAAAAACTTTCTATGTGTTTCAGTGGAGCCAGCTTAGGTGCGGGTGGGGAGCAATTTTAGATCCACAGATAAGGGGATTGGATGGGCCAAATGTACAGTAGTGAAATTGCAAAGAATGCGTGTTGAAACGATTGTTAGCTTGAGGCGGTCGTATTAAAAACTCAAGACACAACAAAATTCCCAAGCGATGATCGATGATTCCGGCTCAATTAAAGAGGCAACTAGTGGGGCGCCGCGATGACTAAAAATTAAATTGTAATAACTAGAGGTTTTATTTTCCCATCTGTAATGAAAATAAAAAAAAGAAAAACTATAGTGGGTCTTCGTATTTCCTCTATCTCTAAGATGTAGTGAGCGTTAAGCAATTAAATTAAAATTTTGGTCTAAAAAGACATTGGGCGATATAGGAGAGATTTTCAACAAATACCAATATGCTCCATGCTCTCATCATCCTCATGCTCAACTAACAATTTATGTGCTGGTTAAAATTTGAACACATTGGGAATAACAAAAAAAAAAAAAAAAAAAACTATGTGGGCTTCGATTTCCTCTAATTCCTAAGATGATACGTAAGCAATTAAATTAAAATTTTTCAAAGACATTGGATATGGAAATTTTCAACCAAACCAATCTCATCTCTCATCTCTCATCTCAACTAAACAATTATCTCTTTAAATTTGACACATGGAATAACCCAAGAAACTAGCTAGCAAATCTGGACAATGAATCAAACATGAACAAAATATGGAGAAAGAACAAGAATTTGCAGATTTGAAAAACAACAAACTTATATATTAAACTCATTCATAGTTTAAAATTATATTTTTATTATTAAATTAATTAAAAGAATATTGTAATTTTAACTATTCTCTATCATTTTCTTCTTTTCATACAGATTCAAGTTCTGTGAATTTTTTTATTTTCATCAAAACATATTTTCTCTATTTACATCAAAACATATTTTCTTTATTTTGATCAAAACATATTCACTTCTTTATTTCATCAAAACACACTTGATATGAGACCATTTATAAAAGAAATAACAATCATATAAAACTTAATATATTCATAACCTTACTATGATCCCTAGCCCCAAAATGAAAGTGTATCAAATTGCTTTTTTCAAAACTCAAATTTATTGATTGTAATTTTAAAGAAGAACATCCAGATTGCGGTAGAAAAATACATAAGCGACGCGAGGTGAAAATCATAGAATTGGAAGGATAGATTACATGATTTTTGTTTGAAATTTGAGAGAGCGAGAGGGGGAGAGAGAGAGCCATTTTTGAAAGTGGAGAGGTAAAAAAATAATGAAGAAAAAGGAAAGAGTAATCTCAGGATTACAATTGAAACGAAGGAATTGAGTTGTCAGTGGGCGCACTGAAAGTAAGATAATAATAAATATAAATTTTAGTACACAAAAAAATTAAAAAAGAAAAATAAATTCTTTTTTCTACTATATATTCTTGACATATCATCACTTTTCTTGACACTCAGTGCCTCTTAAATGCACTTGTTCCCGTATGTTTGGAGAGGTGTGAAATTATAATAATTTTGTAATAATTTTCTACTATGGAGAGGCCGTTTTGAAAATAAAAGAAACCGGCACAAGACTCTTTGTGCAAGTTAGGGGCAAATAATGTATTCCACCTGTTGATAACACAAACATGTTTATACAAATGGCCAAAGCTAGTTGAGGCGGTGCAGACGAGCTTTGCATTTATCCCACGACGTTTTGATTTATGGAAGGTTTA